ACCTTGTCGTGAATATATGGGGCCCTGATATCCAATATTTCAGAAACAATGAACATTTTATAATCACTATACGAGTCGTGTATTCTATGGTTTTGGGTGTCATTTGTAATGAACAAAGAAAACATGTCCTATAAGACAATGCGGAAGCGATTAGTAATAGATGATTCATTACGATTAACGACGACATTACCATTAAAAAAACATGTAGAATGGACTAAGCAGTCGTCAACGACTTTTGTTAATCTGAACTGTTCTCGTATTTCATCGAACATGATTGATCAGTAAGTTTTAAAAGATGGGGTTTATATACGTTCATATTGTACTTATATATATGCATTTAGACCATTTCCGTCTATTTAAAGGTTCCAAGGAATAGAGTTATACGCCCTTTAAAGTCCGATAATTAATATGTTTAGAAAAGGGACGCAGATGTGTCTATTTTAATGAGTGCACTATGGTAACAGAAATACATTTACGCCAGAAGATGTTTCAAGTAGGTGCAACTACAATTCTGTTGAAAATATGCCTTAATATTAGGCAATATCACACTTCTTAATAGTAGAAGAATAAGAGAGCGGATGTGCTCATACAGTTTCTCCTTCTTAACGAAAAAATATCACGTTTTTTAAAAACGAAATGTGTTTGCACGATGGAGGGTTTTCTAGAACACCTGATGACACTTTTATTTCAGAAGATCAAGTAAGTAACATTTCTACTATTCTCTTGTATTTTATAAGCTCCAATATGAACTTGTACGAGAGAGAGAGAGAGAGAGAGATAGATAGAAACCGGATTGAGAAACCGGATTTAACGTCCACTCGACACAAACCAGGTCACTTCGGGACTAACACATGGTTCAACTTTATTTCAACAATTCGCTTGCGCCTAGGGGTCTTTAGCTAAGTTTTAAGGAAGCCACGGGGTTCTTTGGTTTGATCACGGTATTGACCGAGAAAATTCCTCAGGATTTGTTATATTAGTTTCCCCTTGTCAGTGGTGCAGGTAGGAGGGCGTGACAAAGAAAAGTGTATAACCCTTGGGATTGAACGTAGAATGACGTGCACGTAAAAGAATTCGAAATATATAAGTGCATGACGTGTTTCCGTCTTCATTAGCCCAGTTTATACAGAAAAGTAGGACGTTAAACCCTATTTTATTTTGAATGTCTAGAAATAGATACTATAATAGATCATGTTGATGCTATCTATTTTGTATCCACGCCTCTTTATCTCATGTATATCTTTTTTTCTTGACCGTCCGGCCAAAACACCTGTAAACAACTGCGATAAAGATAATATAAACATTCTTAAAAACAAACTATTTTGGTTTTACTCGTTAAACTCGTGTTATATATACCCTCTCATTCAATAGAGTTCATGACCTCGGGTCATTTTCTACCCTCTTCTGAGAAACACATCATTTAATCAAGAAGAGTTACTCGATTCATGGATCATCCCGACGCTTAGAAATAGTCGAGATTAAGTGCACGAATCCCCAGTAATCTATGAAAGGCCGACCAGTCACTCGACGTCAACTTATTAAACCCATGATTTGTTTAACGCGGTAATGTGAGGACATTAAACCCAGGTTGGACGAATTATTTGTTTTGTACATTGCCCTCTATTCAATAAACCCATAGAATTAACCAAGAAATGTCAGAGTGTGAAGATGACAGAAATAGCTATATGAGTATTTTATTTACCTTCAATAGTATAATATAGGCTTTTGTTATTGATGGTGGTTTAGTATAATTTGTTATGCCCGCCTCCTATCAATGAGTTGTCAGAATAGAGCATGCCTTAAGGTGACAGACTGGTTAAAGATAATCCCAGACTTATAATTAATAACAAAATAATTTAATTTGACACAAATGTGAAATGAAATGAAATGAAAGGGGATTTAGTGCTAATGAAGACGGGCATACGCTATGTAGTGTACTATGAGGGAAAGTTTGCCCGGACAGCGGCGCTAAAGGAGACGACGACTTGAAACACAGTCAAACATAAACATATTAAACCAGAATTTATTTAAATTGGTCAATTCTACCATACGCTATAGCCATGGTAGGTATAATAGGTCCTATGAATTTAGGCGTCTATAATATTTGAAATACATATGTGAACATCGACGTCAAGGGAGTATTGTGTTTGACGATTTTAAATCAAAACAACACTTGTCTGCCCGTATTGTTTAATTATTCTCTCACGCATGGTGCCTGTTTAATGTGTGATATTTTTATGCAAATAGAATAGATAATGGTTGTGTCCAAATTTTAATTCTGGACCGGAGAACGATATACATTCATTCATATCGAAATGGGATTCGTCTCGTCCAGTTTATTTCCGTAGCATATTCCAAGATGCTTTTAAGATATGTTCACACATCAAGTTATTTTAACTAAGACCGTAAACTTCGCTACGTTGACATGTGACCGGAAGTACTAATGGAAAAGACTGACTTCTACTACCAGTAGGCGGTTACGCCGTTTCCATCTCATATCTCAATGTTTGACAGCCATCTACTATTTTATACTATTTTCTTATTTTAGATGAATTAGCTTCTCCGGTTTCATGCAAACAACTTTAGACTGGTTTCTGTCGAGAAATATCAATCTGCCCGCTAGAATTATTGTCCACGAATTAAGATTGTGTTCATAGCTAATTGGACAATTGGCAGACGATTATTTAATCTCGCCATTTGTCTGGAGTCGACACCTACACGGACATAACGTGTTCTCATAGAAGCATATGAAATGAACACATGGATGGGTTTTGACGTGTTATAAAATGCCTTGATCAATTTTGAGTTAGATATATATGATTGACTTCTAATGAATAATTTTATCAGTGCAGAAATGTTGTCTGTTCAACAGAGGCAAAAGAAGTTCCAATTCCGTTTTTTTTTCTCTCCAAAGAAATTGATACGAAATGAATGAATGGCTTTATGAAATGAAATGGTGTTTAACGTCCTACTGTTCTGCTCCGACTGGGCTAATATAGACCAGCATACGCCATACAGTGTGCCGAGAGGGGAATTTTCCCGGGTAGCGGCAGTATGGTCTACTTTTATACCAAATTCCAACTATCAAAGGATATTTTACGTGCACACCAATGTATACATGGGGCCTCGGTTATTCGTCCTATAATAATAATAATAATAATAATGAGTCTTATAATGCGCTAAAATCCACATCACGATAGGGAAATGCTCTAAGCGCTGACCACACACCAAACACACTACAACACAAAATGCACATGATAATGTCATATTTAAATATAACGTTTGAAAAGATTCGAACGACTAGACAACTGTCCTTGTCAAACCCCCCGTCCTGCACCAATAACAAGGGGAAACCGCGCCGGAAAATCCCGATGAACTTTCTTGGCCAATGCAGGGATCGAACACGCGACCTCCAGGCTAGCGAGCCAGCGTCTTACGAATGACTTTATATTCCATCAATATATTCAGAGAGAAATATCATCAATTAGTCTTTCCTGCCCATAAATGAACTCTAGTTCTAAAAAACAAATGGAATGAAATGGGGTTTAACATCCTACTGTTCGGATAAATTCTAAAAACAAAGTATGTTTTAATAAATGGTTTTGCAATAAAACGGCTCATTTTGGATAACCTTTGATGCATAAAATGATCGCAATTATGAAAAGAACTACAATGATTAAACGAACACCTTTCATCCTTTTGTTGACATGTAAACATATATAGGAACAAAAAAAAGCTAAAAGTCAAAATGTAAACCGTCTTTTTACAGATTTACCTTCACCAACTCATCTTAAGCTTAAGCATTCTCAGGCTTTCAATGACAACGGTACCTGTACCCCAAATGTGCACTATTTGTATTAACACTATGGTTATTTAGTATTTCTCATATCTTTTTTTTTATCAACACTATGGTTATTCTGTATTTCTCATATTATTAGTTATTATAAACACTATTTACTATTTCTCATATTATTTGTTACTAACACTATGGCTTTTTACTATTTCTTTTTCTTATATTATTTATCAACACTATGGCTAGTTACTATTTTTATTACCATGTTATATCAACACTATGGCCTTTTACTATTTATTATATTATTTGTTATCAACACTATGGCTAATTACTACTTTTATTACTATGTTTTATCAACACTATGGCTTTTTACTATTTTTCATATTATTTGTTATCAACATTATAGTTAATTATTATTTCTATTATTATTTGTCATCAACACTACGGTTAATTACTATTTGTTATGTTTTATCAACACTATTTCTAGTATTATGTGTTATCAACACCAATCATAGTAACGTATTTCTGTAACATCATTCAATATTCCTTACATTTTTGAACAAGTATTCAAAGTTAAATGAAATGAGGTTTAACATCATACTTTTCTGCACCGACATGACTAATGAAGACTGCAAAGGTTAGCATTACTGCTCCTTTTCTTACTATGTTTCAGTATACACTTAAACTCATCATGACACCAACATGACGTAGTTGGTGCAGCTCAAAGACAAATCAAATTAAAAAGATTCAGTATTTTTGGTTGTTTTTTTTCTAAAAAAAAAAGAAAGCATCCCATTGGTCGAAATGACAATAAAATATTGGAGGAAATTTTTTTTTATTGAAATGTAATATGATATGAACACATTTTTATTTGTTCATGGATCCATGAAAAGACTGCGGCAAACAATATGTAACCCTCTTAACATCATTAAAATAATCGGATATCAGTGATTGATTTTATTAAATATAATTTTCCGTTAAAGAACCCCTGGCAGTTGGAATTTGATATAAGAGTAGGCTGTAGCACTGCGGTCCGGGCTAGATTTTCCTCGTTGCACACTGTATAACGTATGTCCGTCATAATTAGCCCAGACGGAGCAGAGCAGTAGTACGTTTAACTCCATTATATTTATTCATTATAAATTTATGACACGTGCTTTCCGCACCAATAGCCACATATTATGCATAATGGTAAAATCAATCTTACCTGTTTACTAGTTTCCCAATTTTGTTGAGTTTCCTTCAATATATTTAATACTATTAGTTAGTTATATCCAGATATATATTTAAATATATATAAAGTTCTAAAGTTATATATCCAAGTAATTCAAAACTATTCTCCGCTCAACTTTACGTAAGCTCCAGTGAAATAAAAGAAATCCGAGAACAGAGTGAAAAAAATGAAATAAATATCCAGTTATGCACAGCGGTGGTAAAAAAAGAAATCTCCAAAAAAAATTTCAAACTTTAAAGCAAATATTCCAATACTCGTTTCCTAGCAAAATTCGTCGCTGCAACATGAAACATTCTCCTAAAAAAACTTTAAAACTTTAAAGCAGATATTCCAATAAGCTTGTTCTCTGCAAGATGCGTGGCTTCTACTTGCTTTAGCGCCGCTGCATCAATCGACGAAGAGTAAGCTGGAAATGTACACACAATACGACAGCACATTAACGGTAGTTCTATCGGATTGAGTGCGATCTATACCACCGCAAAGAAAACGCGTCAACAGTCTCGTTAGAGTGAAAATGGACTTTGATAATAACGTGAATGAGTGACTTATTAATAAATTTTAATATAGTGCCGATAACGGATCGATTCCTATTAGTAGGATTATAATGTACAAAGTTTACATACATGTATTCATAAACTTTTTAATCACAGGTTTTTACAGTTTTCGTAGTAGAATAAGTAGAAAACTTATCATTACTCGCGTTGTTAAGTAGGTGTGTATATAGCTATCAGCGGTGCTCACACCGTCGATCGCTATGTCCGCCAATTGCGATTAAAATATAATAATATCCCTCACGTTAACATGAAACGCGTTTAGCTTCTTAACTTGGCTTAATGGTCCAAGGCGTGCGCTTTGGATAATAAGGTCGGTTATTGAGTCAAGTGGCGTGGTTTCGATTACCAGCTTGTACGTGACAGGGTGTAGTGTCGCCTGTCCAACCTCGTGGGATATCTGGGGGTCATTCCGATTTCCTCCCACTGCTAAAGACTCCTACGCACAGACGAATTATTGAAATTAAATTGAACCATGTGTTCGTAACGAAATGACATAGACTGTGTCTAGTGGGCGTTAAACCCCATTTCTCTCTCCCTTAACAGACAGAATCTTTTATATGTGTTTGATTTATGACCAGACATTTCATTCCAGATATTCATGTTTTTCAGAACTATGTATCCAAAGATAAGGGAGCCAGGTGGTGAAGTGGGTAAGGCCCTGGCTCAATCAGCAGGAGGTCCGGAGTTCGATCCCGGTATTGGCCGAGAGAATACCTCGAGATTTTCCAGCGTGGGTTTCTCCTTGGAAGTGGTGCAGACCTCGGGCCTGGCAAGGAACAGCGTCTAGTCGTTCGGATTAGGCAAAAATCCGTTTCCATGATTCGAAATAAGAATAAGCCGTATCGTCGCCGTTCGGATAACATTTATCGCATATCATTAAACGAGGGTCACGGTGGCCTGTTAGCCTGGAGGTTGGGTGTTCGATCCCTGCATTGGTCGAGAAAGTTCATTCGGATTTTCCGGCGTGGTTCCCCCTTGTCCGTGATGTAGGACGGAGGGTCTGACAAGGACAGATGTCTAGTCGTTCGGATGGGATGAAAAAAGGAGGTCCAGAGTACACATTGGCATGCACGTAAAAGATCTCTTGACAATTGGAATTCGATATAAGAGTAGGCCGCAGTGCCTCTGTCCGAGCAAAATTTCCCTCATAGCACACTGTATGCGTATGCCCGTCTTCATAAGCCCTGTTCGGAGCAGAACAGTAGGACGTTAAACCCCATTTCATTTGATTTCATATCATTAAACCCCATTTCATTACATCCCAGCATAATCACAAACGGGGACCCCACCCCTTCTAGACTTTAGCTAGATCACACGACTCTCAATAACTAATACGGTTAATTTGCATATGTGTTTATACCAGCATTGCATTGTTAGAAATCATCAGGACTGTTGCTCGTCCCGAAGACCACCGTGTCACAAATTGCACGTAATCAGTAATGCCATCCGTTGCAAGTAAATGGTTAACAAATGAAAGTCTGTCTCAATAGCGAGCATCAGGATTATCAAGCATACCACAATGGACAAGTAAACCCGGCAAATTGCTTTAATGAGAGCAAACTGACCTTCCTGTTTCGATTCCTATTTATAAAAGCTTTCATTTTGTTTCTAAAGTATCATGAGGATATTCATGTTATTTATTTTTGAAATGTCTAGGGATGAAACATTGACTTTCCTTAAAGATCAATTTCAGCGAAAGGATTAATCTTCACTTCAAAACTTCGCGGGGAACCAAAAAAAAAAAGAAAAAGAAATCTAACACGTTAACAACCTAGGGATGAAACATTGACTTTACATAAAGATAAATTTCAGCGAAGGGATTAATCTACAAAACTTCGCGGGGAATCAAAAAAAGAAGAAATCTACCACGTTAACAACCAAAAAAATAAAAAGAAAAAATCCAACATGTTAACAGTTTACATCTGAAATTACACACACTTGAACTAGTTCGTCTTTTGAAAGGCTGTTATAGCAATCCTATAAATTAAGTCACTTTTCTTAATGTGTAAGCGGAAAATGCTCATTGTTTGATCATTTATTGGTCGTAATCAAAGGTCTTTGTACGCAATATTAGCCCTTTGTGTCATCCATGCGACTAGTGATTATCGCATTATGTCCTCGATGTGATTATTGTAACGATTTCTGGAAATAGAAACTTAGCGTCGTGGACATCAATAAAAGGGAAATTGTTAGCTAACTGAGCCTCTCAGATAATTTTGATGTGGTGGGCGTTCGTTCCTTCCTTCCTGGAATTTTATGTCCACTTGCACCGAAGATGATATCGTAGACAAGTTTTTCCTGAGAAACTTGCCAGAGGAAGTCACAAAATAGGCTTGATCCACCTTTTTTGTTTTTGGTAAGACATAATGTCAATGCAGGGAAGCGCCCAAGGTGAATTTCATCCAAAGGAGAGACTCAGTGTGTAAGAAAAGAAAGAATGACGAGCGTGCTCAAGTGGTGGGCTAGAAAAAAGAAGTATATATAGACCCGTGAACGATATCCAACACTATTTTGTTTTCATAAAAATCAAGTTGTAGAGGTCATCTCGTAGTTACATTAAAGAGGGATCAACGCCCCAAAGCGAAAGGCTTATATATATATATATATATATATATATATATATATATATAATCGAAACAACGCCACTTGACTCAATGAAGACCTTGTGATCTAAAACACAACTGTTACGTTGAACTCATCGGTCGGGTCATCGCCTCAAAGCTAAGGAATTATACACCCATATAGTCTTGGTCGTACGGAGGGCCTGGGTCTGCCCATGCGTAACCAGGACTTTTATTTTTTGTGGCTGATTATCCAGTAAATACGCCAAGTCAAGTAGGAGTTGTGCCCCTTCGCAAAATAAATCCCATAATTCATGCAATATTATACACAAACATCAATTAAAAGAACATAGATATGGTCCATGATAAGAACAATTTTACAATAAAAACTTCAGGAGTGTTCGATATTGAATTGGTAATGCAAAAGGATTTTCTGAAATGGCAATTCTAAAATTAATTTCACGGGCGTCGACATCTTGTTTTAGGACTAGTTACCTCCCCTTGACTTTGTTCATGATATGTAAAATGCCGGATAATCTAGCCAATGACCTCCAATTCTCAAGTGTTGAGAACCCATCCAGACTAATATTCGTAGAATATTTGACTGATTGACAGAGACTATTATATACCACACCTCATGTCCGTCATCAGCAAACCTTTCACATTTCCAAATATGTTCATAGGGTTTGAATAAAATGTTATCAAAACGTTGCTCTGCGATAATTTAATGAGGCCTATATCAGAATTTAAGCCAAAAGGTGCGCTATGGTGGGCATTTTGCCCGAACAGCCGCACTTCGGCCTACTCTTATATCGAAGCCAAATGACAAGGGTTCTTTTACATGCACGTTAATGAGCACACGGGGCGTCAGGTTTTTCGTCCCATCCGAACGACTATCCGTTGTCCCTGGTCAGGCCCTCTGTCCTGCACCAGGGCCCTGTTTCTCGAAATCTTAACTAAAGATAAAATCCAAATTTTAGTAGATACTTCAGTTTTGATTGGCTAAGCACTAAAATCAATCTAATATTATCCAATCAAATTACTAAAACTTGGATTTTATCTTAGTTAAAATTTCGTGAAACAGGCCCCAGAATCTTTAAACAGATAGTAGAACATCTAGGCCTGTTCACTGACGTGTATGATGTTGTTACAATGGCGTATTTAACAAAACCTATTTACTCTCATAAAAAAATAAGGTCAGCTCGTTACAAACCCTATTATAATAAAATTCCATTAACCATCGCAAGCTTCATCATTAGCCATAGTAAGCTTCATTACGAAAGAGTATTCTTAGAAATGTTGCGAGCTACCATTTCCGACCAACAACTACCACAAACTGAGTTAGTAAATTAGATTAGATACGGTGTAGGTGACTAGGTATATTTTATATTATTAAAGTGTATCTGTGTAAGAATAAACGAAATAAAATTGGGGTTTAACGTCATATTTTTCTGCATCGACCGTGCTAATGAAGACGGACATATACGCCATGCTGTGTGGGGGGTTGGATGGCTGAATGGTTAGCGTGCGCGCGCGCTGTATCATAAAGTCTGTCAATGAGTCGACTGGCGTGGTTTCGAATCCCCGGTTGTACGTGGCAAGGAGTAGGGTCGCCTGTCCAACCTCGTGGGTTTTCTCCGGGTCCTCCGGTTTCCTCCCACAGCTAAAGACCCCTACGCGCAAGCGAATTATGTAAATAAAATTAAACCATATGTTAGTCCCGAAATGACCTAGTTTGTGTCGAGTGAATGTTAAACCCCATTTCTCTCTCTCTCTCGCCATGCTGTGTGCTAGGAGAAATAAAACATGCTACTGTTTTACACTGATCGAGATGATGAAGACAAGATGTGTGCAATTCGAGGGACATTTTTCACATGTCAAGGGTTCGTTTACGTGTACGCCAACGCGTGACCTTGGTTTTTTGCCTCATCCGATCGACTATACGCTGTCCCTTGCCCCACTGACTAGGGGAAACCACGCCGGAAAAATCCCGAGGAACATTACCGGGGGCGATTCCGAGACCTCCGTTCCCACATTATCAAAGAGTATCTATATATGCCAGAATAAATAAACTACCATAAAATTTACCTGTAATAACGCCATCGTAATTATTCTCCTAATTGAAACCGATGAACTTCCGTCATCCGAGCACATATTTTATCATCAGCTCATCGATCACTACTCTCCGTCCAGTAAATTCAATTTATATTATAGTCCTGGCCGTCACAGCCAGTCAACCTTATTACCTTTATGTAGGTAGTGGGTTTGAGTAATTTATATGAACGAGGTCCGTATCCG